GTGAATCAAGTAGAGATTGGCTACCCCTCAAGCCCATAATGCATTGGTCAGCCTGAGGGGACAGTAGGTCTTGCAGTGACCAACAAGCAAGAGGAAATCGAGGAGGTCCCCCTTAAGCAGCTGGGAGCATGCAGGCCTGTTTGTTTTCTCCATAACTTTAGTTGGTTTCTGCTAGAAATTGGCATCATCATCAAAAGAAAAAGATTTATGAGCAGAACACATCCCTTCTTATCTTTTGCCAAGATGTTCCCCCAAAGCCCAAGTAGAACAGCCAACACCACACTTGTGAGCACCTGAAGTGCTCACTTAATTAACATAGGAAAGTGGATTTGATTCCAGAAGCATACTGCCTGCTCCAATTCAAATTCAACTGGCCCTCCATAGTTTGCAAAGGAAGACAAGACTCACAGTCTCTTTCATCTGCACAAAACCCTAAGAGAAAAATTAAGCCTGGGAGAGGAGGCCAACTGCCAAAGCTACTGCAGCTGGCAGGAGAGAGTGCCGGCCCCTGATATCTATCATCCAGGGCTGCTCCCCACAGACCTGACTCTGCCCCCAACAACTACAGAGGCAGCCTGGGTTAAATAATAAGAAAGCAAGCAAAGAAGGAAGGGAGGAGAAGGAAGAAAGAGAAGGAAGAGAGAGTGAGAGGGAGGAAGAAGGGAGGGGCAGAAAAGATGAAGGAGACAGTACCATCTCACTTGAGTATACTTACTTTCTAATAGCTTAAAAAATTCAAGTAGAAAACCTGGAGAGATTCCACACCACGTTTTATTGCATTGATTTTAAATTCAGAGATCTCAACCAAGAAGTTGGCTGGATGTCAATGAAATAAACCAACTCTCCTCCCTGAGCAGGGCTTCTCTGCACACAGGATTTATGGTTCTGCTTCCCCCGGGCCTGTAACAAGTCCAGGAGCTGCCGCGTCTGACCAAGTGCTGGGAGCCGGCAGACTCTGTGTCCCAGGAAGACTCAGGGGGGAGGCTTCCAAAGCACTCCTTAGAATGCATCCTTAGCCCTTCTGCTGGGCCTGTAGATTTACTCCCTCTCGTTGTCCATAATAAAATGCTTGTCCTCTTCCCTGAACCCTAGTGAATGCCAAGGTCATTAAAACAAAAAGCTCTGTCTTTTGCTAGCTTCAGACAAGATACAAGCTGCTGCTCTGAAAAACTGCTGTGAAAGATTTCTTAACCTAAAAGCATTTGTGAGTCAGGAGAGCAAAACTCAGGGTCAGCTTGGCCTCAACATAATGCTGAGTACGGGCAGATGGTGCCGCCTCATCTGTAAACCAATGACTTTTAACGCTCTTCGGACTTTCAGACCCTTAGAAATTTTGCTGGAAGGTGTGATAAACCTGCCTTACCCCATAAAAAGGCATGTGTATGCAGAAAGAAGAAACATGCTTATTCTAGAACATTTGAAAACCTCGCTCGACAATCCAACAACCTTTTCTATCCCTCAGATCAACAAGTTCATATCAAAATGATGCCTAACATCTTTTCCAGTTGATACCATGTCTGGAAGGGAATTCATAGGATTGCTCACAATTAAATAAACCCTTCTGCAACTACTGTCTCTACTGTAAAACTTTTTGCTTTTTCACGAGTGGAATGTGGTCAAAGATGAAAGTCATTCAATAAACATGTAGATTTTCATAACAAAGGATGATCTGTAATTTACCACTTTTAAGGAAGGAAAGAGAAAGAAAAGTGTTCTGGAGATAAACAGCTATTTCAAAAAGCAATGTAAGTATTATCTGCTCTTTTCCTTAAATAAAATTTTAGAACAAGTATAAAGAAAAATTAATCGCAGCCTTATGATTTAGAACAGAACACTTCTATTGATATTTTATCAAGGACCAGGGAGATGGCTCAGTGGCGCAAGCACCTGCCTCGCAAGTGCAAGGTCCTGAGTTTGATCCATAGTACCAAAAAAAAAAAAAAAAAAATGATCATTCACACACACACACACACACTTAAAACATACCAACATGTAAATATGTCAGGGGTCTTGTTTTTATCCTGAACTTTGTATGTAGCATTGAGGCAACTGATAGTATAGTATTACTCTGCTCTCTACATAAACACCTGTAATGCCATCCGAATATGCCAAGAAGCTGACATAGCATGGAAATTCACAGTTATTGATCTGGGCATGTATACTGTTTCCGATGAGTGATGCTATAAGCAATGATGTGCTGAACATAGACCCTGCCTCAGATTTCAGTTTGGTTCTTAGAAAGGAGTCTGAAGTAAGCAATTACTGCATTAAGAATACAAATATCTCTAAAGGCCCCGGTAACTATAGATATGGTACTTTCTAAGAGGCAAAGTGAGTTACAAGGCTGTTGGGTGACTATAGATTTATCTGTTGCATACAGTGAGTATAAAAGTTTAATTTTATTTAAAATTAAATAAAATTTAATTATCTTGAGTAATAATTTAAAGCCAGATAGATTTTTCAAGAATTGATAACATTTTTTCCCAAACACTACTAACCAAATGCTCCAAAAATATTCATCGTATTCTATTAAATCCTCTATCTCCAGAAGTCATACATTACTTTTCTTCTTATTATTTAATACAGGCCCTGCAAGCAGAAACACGTAAGTTGTTTACAATGGTTTTTTTCTTACTCTAATGCCATTAACACAAAGTCTGTTTTTAGATCCATAGGACTAGTCATTATTTAAGAGGATGTTTTAGAAGTCAAGTATGCACGTGTGTGTGTGTGTGTGTGTGTGTGTGCACGCACACACACACACGCGCATGTGTGAGTATGAAATGATGTGGTCAAGACACATGCAGGGCCTCCTAGTATATTTAAAAGTCCTCCAGTTCTCACAGGGTGATTTAAATCAGAGGCGAATCAGTCTTTGTATTTTAGGGAAGGGTCTACAGGGTGTTCAGGGTCTCAGTAGTAGATCGGACTCGTAGGGATCCGCCTGTTTACAGCCGCCCAAGAGCTGGGATTACAGGCATGCACTACCACGCCATCTCAATTGCCGGCTCAGTGCGTCCCAGGGTGAGGCCAGATGGCAGGCCGGGGGATCAAACCCCCCACCTGTGCCTGCTTGCAGGCGCTTTAATCCACCGAGCTATTCAGTCTCCAAGTGTACAGGAGACTGAATTTGGCCGGCGCTATTCAGTCTCCTTCCTTTAGCCACGGTCACTCCTTGCCACTTTGGAAAGAAATCGCTGCCCCAGTGCCCTCGGGAAGATGGTGGGTGGTGTCTCATCCTCTGACGTCACCCACGCTTGGTGCACAGAGACCCTCACGCACACAGCTGTGCACACTGTGGGTGGCACTGCGGTGGGCATACGTAACTCAGTGCTCACTGCACAGCATGATGCGACCAGTGCCTTTATGCCTACCTTTGAAATAGCGTCCATTCCTTTAAAAGGAAGAAATACACCCAGAAACAAAGGCCCCGCCAATGGTCCAGAATTACAAATAAGCATCCCAGTTCCGCAGAGCCACACTGGGGCAGGGATTCAGAGACCTGCCACCAACTCACGGTGTGATTTTGGTCCAGTTGCACTTCTTGCTTGGGTCTCAGCGCTGTTCTTCCTTGTACGCAGAGGAAGGTCAGCTGAAGAGGGTACTGCCTGGGTTGTGGGTTCCGGTTGGAGGGCTGGAGCCTCATGGGCACTTTTAAATAGTTTGAAAATAGTGAAAAACATGCCCTTTCCCACCGTCTTACTAAGCTGCTGCATCAGGCTTCAGGGGTTATCAGTGCAAAATGTGACACTGCAGCTCAGGAGGGATGGACGCTCTGCGTAGCTGGCGAAGGCATGAAATTATTTTACAGAGTGTGACATTAATAGACCGGTCACTGACTCCAGTCAACCTCAGTACTTAGATCAAGGTTTCCTGTTTGTGATCAACCTTGGGTACAACCCAGAGTCAACCAAAATTCAGCCACCTCAGCCAGTGTCACCTGTACGCTTCCTTGGCTTTATTACTGACCACCTCCACTCAGAGGGCGTTTTATAGGATTTCATACCGAGTATTATTATGCACCCTTTTAATTCTGGACGGTTGGTTAGAATCTTCCTGTGAAGAAAAGGAGATAAAAAGCAGCGACACCAGCAGCCTAGGTAATTACTAAATAACTCCAGCTCGCGAGCTTGGCAGAACTTTTTCAAAACTTGACAATCAAAGGGAAAACATTGAGAAAATATACGCTGGTTGTCACCCTCTGGAAACTTCTCATCTCCATCAGCATTCTGGATGCTTACCTGTCCTGTCGCAGGATGGGCTTGAGGACACGGGTGGAGGGGGCAGGTGGCGACAGCTGTCTCCATCTCTGGCAGCATCCCCGTAGATTAACTCCCTCCTCACCAGGACCCTGGTGTAGAGATCTTTGCCCACTCATGTGGCCACACTGCAGCCCAAAGTGTACTGTTTAAAAAAGAGAATTAAAATAGTAAAAAGAATGGCCATGATACAGGATTTCACTGAACAAAATGATAGGAATTCAACAGTGGTTGTTCTATCCCATACTGTTGTCTTCAAATTAGTTGTTCAGATTTGATGTCTTTACAGCAGTTACATTTTCTTCTGCTGATCTACTTACACATGTATTTCTTGTTCCCTTTCATTGGGATGTAAGTGTCATGTCGGTCTTCTCTACAGACACCATACTCTGGTAGATCTTTGTGCTAGAGGAAACATTCTATAGCAGGTTGATGAGGATAAAGCCAGAAGTCTTTAAAATTCACTGGTGTAAAATATGCCCTACAATGTCTTGCAATGCAGTATTCTGTATTTCTGAGATGGTAAGCACTCAACGCAATTTTTATATCTGTGGAGAGAAGACAACCCCCCCAGAAGCTGGGAGGGTTATAGCATGCATGATCCGTAGTCTTCACTCACCACCGACAGCCTCTTTCTTGATAACCAGAGATTAGTGAGGTGAAATTACCATGGGAGTTGGCCTTTTTATCATCCTCAATCATTTTAGTACTCGACCTGACCAAGTTATGTCATGCTTTTAGCTCCTCATCGCCAGACAAAGCCTGAACCATCTCACACACTGGAAAACCAGAACCCTCAGAAGACTGCACTTCCCATTACCAGGTAAGGACCAGGAATGTGGTAGGTCCCAGCACAGGGTCTGGCCCTGCACTACCCTGGACCATGACTGCCAGGACTTGAGACCAGAGAGTACCTCTGGCCTTTGCTCCTCAAACCTGGCAACCCCGGAAGTCACTGGATGCTGCAGTACTGTCCTTGCTGCAATTTACAAGTGATTGATTTAACCTGAGAGAAGTACGGGGGATTCTGAGAACTGAATGTAAGCTGGATAGGATTTACTGGAATAGACGCTAATCTTGGAGGAGCAGTTGGCTGTTTCTTACTCTCTGCAGCTGATGCCTTCCACACTGAAGCACACAGTCACTTCTGAATACAGATGACCAGGCATGGAAAACGCCATTCTAGGAGTGAATAATTGTCGATCGGGTTATTGTAAAAACTGTCAAGTGAAAGCAGAGGTTGTCGGATGTCTCACTGCATGCAAATCAGTAAAGGATTCCCTAACAGAATCCAGGAGCCCTGATGAGCCCTGTGAGGCCCTGCTCATCCAACTCTGGCCAGTGGCAGGGACCTCGGCGCTGCCACTTCCTGTGACACCCCACCATTGAGGCTCATGCTGCCCCAGCCAGCCCCCACACTTCGCTCACTGCGAGGCACCGCACAGCCCACTGCCCTGCCTGCAACTCTCCCTCTGCTTTTCATTCATCGCCCCGCAGCCTAAAACTGCACTCTAGCCAGAAGACAGTTCTTTCTCACTTCCCAGTCAGGAAAAATGAGGCTGAGACACACCGAGTCCTTTACATTTGAAGCTGAATCTAACTCCAAACCCCAAGCACTTTCCAGTAGCCAATGTCACCGCTAATGACTTGATTCTGACAATGCTTGCTGTGCACCAGGACGCTCTGGTGCCTGCTGTCACCACAAGTGAACAGCAGGACCTGGACAGCATTCCATCTTACACAGGATGCTCCACCCGATCCGTGTAGCCAGAGCCCGGTCAGGGCCAGCTCTCATGGCTGTTCCCAGGTCCCATGCAGTAGTGACACTGTGACTTACCCTGTCCCCTTCTCCTCCGTTTGCTTCCATGTCTTATCTTGCACCTTCCCTAAGTTTGCTACCATCTTTCAGCTGGTAGATATTAGGATTACTGCTTTAAGAGTCTTAGGCTGTTCAAGTCCCAATCTGACAGTATTCCACCATAGAATATGCCTTCTTGGCTGAACCTGGTGACACCGGTCAGTAATCCCAGCACTCTAGGAGGTCAAAGCAGGAGGATTACAAATGAGAGCCCATCCTGGAAAATTTAGCAATGTGATGAAGCTCTATCTTACAGGAAAAAAATAAAAATTAAAAAAAAAAAAAGATGAGGGATATAGCTAAGTGCAAAAGCCCTGGGTTCAATCTCCAGTAGTGAAAAAAGAAATGTTGGTATAATTTTTCAAGGAAATAAAATCACCATGTGCTAGTAAAAGATAATGAACACTTTAGATTTATGAGTGCAGTCATTTTTTTGAAATGTTTTGGGGTCATTTTGTTTGCTTAGTTTATTGAATAAAGTCAACTGATTTTAGTTCCTCACTTAATGTGCTGCGTCCTCTAAGTCCCCTTCTCAGACTCCTTTCCCAAACTCACCCTCGGCAGGGTGCTCCTCAGAGGCCCCCGAGGTCCTTGTCCCCCATTCCCCTCAGCGTCCCAGGTCAACTCTGTGCTCCAGTGCCCAAGTCTCCATCTTCTTCCCAATCTTCCGTTCTCGGCTCCAGATCAGTACTTCCAATTAAACACAGGGCAGAGCTCCGTGGAGGGATCACAGGCACTGCAGAGTACACACCGAAAAGCTTGAACTCCTCACTTACACATCATTCCCAAATCAGCACTGTCCTCCTGCAAGCCTTCGCCCTCCAGTAAGTGGAAGCACTTCCCGTCCAACCCACTGCGAGCTCCCAAGTTCTACTTCCAAACAAGACTTGAGTCTGTGGACTCTCCCTTTCTCCACCTTGTGAAGTGGACAGCGCCATCACGCTGGCCCTGACTACTGCTCTAGCCAAATGATATTAAGACTCTCTAAGCTCTGCATCCCGCCCCCCATGGACCTACTTCTGGGGCTCTGGCCCAGTGAGTCACACTTTCTCGCCTCTGGTCCATGGCACCCAGTAGTCTCTCTGCCCAGAACACACACTCTATTCTTAGTATCCTTCAGGGCTCAGGGCAGGGCTCATCTCCATTAGAATCTCACCCTTTACTGAGAACCAGAGCAATTCCATTTTCAGTACCCTTCCTCCACTACAGGAGCTGGGGCTGTGTGCACTTTTCCTGTGACACTCAACAAGTACGCTACTGTGATGACACAATTTGTCTTCTCTGTATAAAACACACTCCACTAGGGAACGGACCATGCCTTATTTATTTAACCTTCCATAAACATACGATGCATCCAGTAAGGTCTCCGCATGTGTTTGTTAAATGTGAGGATCATCATTTAGACCTTAGTTTTAGTTTGGGGACTTTTTTGTTTCTGCATTTATGAACAGAGCTCTAAAATATCTTGAGGATATTCTGCATCATTCACTATTTCCCAAAAATCCTGAAAATCAGAACAGAGAAACTTTACTGTTCATAAATTGTCACAGGCATGTAACAGAATTCCACTATTTTCTAACCTAAGGATCACATTTTCATAGTCAAGGGCCTGCTGTCGGAAGTCTGTGCAGCGCTGGCAGCAGAGTACGGCAGGCAGATCCCCTGCTGGCGTTCTGGCCTGTGAGGACCTAGGCTTCCGAAGGGAGACCAGAATGAGAAACGCATGCAGCTGATTTCCCTGGTGCTAGAAAGGGTGGAGTTTCATTTAGCTAACCCAGAGACTTTTGCCAATAGCACAGACCTTGGAACGGAATGTGGCCCATGTAATTAGATTTAACTCTCTGAGCACCTGGAGCTTGTATCGACAATGTGGACCACAGTACAAAGTGAACCAGAAAATTAGAGCTGGGTGGGAAGTAAGGCTACTGATGAACAGTGTTGGTAATACTACTCTTATGATTAGAAATGCATATTGCTGTTTTCATTGGCTTATGGCTTTATAATCCTCTCGCCATGTATGGAATTGCTTATGGTAGTCCATACCATTTTGTCACTCAGCTCACATTTCAAGAAGTAATAAAATGTGTAAACTCTTGTTTATAGCTGTAGCTGATTGTCAATTGCTAGATAAATTCAATAGAGTACGAGCCTGACCAAATACCAGTTTCTGGGACTGTAACCATAAGGCAAGTCTCAGCTCTTGGCTTTAAACAGTAGACTAATGACAATGCACCTACTAACGTGGGAAGCACTAGGCTGACCAACTTATTCCACGTCTAATATTTGCCACTATGAAGACAGGAGAGCCAGGCCCTCACTGCCTTGAAAAGCCAACAAGCCTTCTAGCACATTCTGCAGTACTATGAAGTGCTGTATAGCTGTAACATCAGAGCCTAACCACAGATGCTGCCCCCGGCTGGAACCGGAGCCAGCATGGAGCGTTCTAGCACCTACTAACTCTCCCGTTTCCTTTAGCTCTTCTTCCCTGCCAAGAAGCCACAAACTGCAAGACAGAGGTAAGGCCACTTGAAGTAAGAATTACCAAGTTCACAGGTAAGCAGTTTGCATGCCACAATGTTCCTGCATGGGGGCTCATCTTTGTGGGCTGATCTGTATAGGTATGATTAGCTCATTTTGCTTGGCTGATAGCATTTCACTGGATGGATTTGACATGATTTTAACGGATGGCTCCATCTAGTCACAGAGGCCATTTCCAGTTGTAACAATTGTCCTCCCATGTCTTCCCAGGTCATGAGATATCTTCCCAGGTGTACAATAGGATCACATCTCATTCTAAAACTGAATTTCTGGGGATTGCTTAGGCTACCTGTCCCCTCAATTTCCTCAGGTGAACTTTCCAAAGTAGCTATGTCAATTAGTCACCCATGGTTTATGACTAATTCCACCCTCTGCTCTTTTTCCTCTCCAACAGTTGTTATAGAAAACCTTTAATGTTTCCAAGTCCACTGGGTGCAAGACAGGTTTATCTTAAGAGAAAAACAACTGTGAAATGAAAAAAATACAGCTGACCTCTCTTGCCAATTGCTTATAAAGACAAAACCCAGGATAGCAAGTCTATGTAGAGGTCTCAGTGCTGGGGTCTGGATAAGAAGTGGTTCCCAGGGGCTCACCTGGTGAAGGTTTAGTCCTCTATGCCACACTGTTTAGAAAGGGGCCTTTAGGGGAAGCAACTGGATCATGAGGACATTAGCTTTATCCGGGCATTAATTCACTCATGGATTCATAATTGGACAGCATCGGTGGGAGGCGATGGAAATTCTAAGAGGGGGCCCTGAGTGGAGGAAGGAGGTCACAGGGCAGGTCCTGGGAAGGCACCTCTTGTCTCTGCCCCTCCCCTCCCTTTTGCTCTGTGCACTGCTGGGCAGCTGGCGTAGCTCTGGCCTGATCAGCTTCACCTCAGGCCCACAGCTACAGGTCAGGCAAAACTGATCTGGAACCTCCACAGTTGGGAGCCAAAACAAATCTTTTATCCTTTTAAGTTGATTTTCTCAGGTCTTTGGTCACTTGATGCAAAGTAGACTGACACTAAGGCAACATAGAAGTAGTGTCCTATGACTATTAGTGGTGGGTTTGACATTATTAACATGATTTTGCCCAAACTAAATCTACTATTCTATACTCTATTCTCTATTCTATATATTCTATGTTCAGGACTAGCCATGCAGTCTGTCTGCTGACCCAAAAAGGAGAATTTAGACCTGAAGAAGGCAGACACTGTGGCCTATGGTAGAGAGGGTGTGGACCTCTACTGATCTTAGTCCCAGTGCTTCCTCTGTCCCTAGCATGCAATCATCAGGAGCAAGTGCATTGTTAAGCTTCATAGTCCCTCACCCATACAATTCAAATAATGGCTTATAGATTAATAGCCACGTGTTGCACACATGCCCTTGTACACACACAGGGACTTGCTTGACACGTAGTAGGCAAGGGATAGGTTTTAGTTTTATATTTTATTTTTTGGTACTGGGAATTAAATCTACAGCTTTTACACTAAGACATACACCCAGTTCTTTCAAATTTTTTGTTTTTTGAGATAGAGCTTTGCTAAGCTACCAAGTTGCCCACATGCTAGGATTATGGGCTGTACCATCATGCCCAGCCATGGGTACATCTTAGTGGCTTTCTTTTATGAGGTGCCTGTCCTCCTGCATGCCCAGCTGACCTTAGTGGATTTCCAAGTTTTCTTATTCCAAATCTTCCATACAGCATCTGGGACTTACAATTTTGTAGCCTAGGTACTAGGTGGTAAGTTCATTTCCCTTAATGCATACACTATAAATAGGAGATAACTCCTGAAACAGTGAACAAAGAGAACTGTGCTTAACCCAGGGAACTGCAATGCTAAGAGCAGTGCTAAGACTCAGATCTGGGTTTTGGACATGAAAGACAGTCTAGGTGCTAAGTTCAGGTACTGAACAGAAAGGGCATTACTTGGGGGGGGAGGACAGCTGCACTGAAAAATACATTGCAAGAAGAAAGAAGCAGATACCTTAAAAAAGAATCCAGAGTCTTAACTTGTAAGATTAAACTCATTCACAAATGCAAAGTAAAGACCAATGAAGAAAGAACAGAAGTGGTGGAGAAGGGAACAGCCTTCCCAACACAAGTCTGGTCAACATGCTAGGGACGCATGTAGATTTTTGTAGTGGAGTCTTTTAGATTATCTTCCATTCCTCTGAGAAGCAGCAAGTTTCCTTCCAGAAGCCCAGAATGGACAGGGCAAATGTCTTGGCCTATTATTTCTTTTTTTACTGAAAAGACGTCTACCAAGCACATGGTTTATAATCAAAATGAGCCTTGACTCTTTAGTGTATTCTTACACTTGCCACGACAGTCCCACCCCCTCTTAACCAGCTCATATGCACTTGCAATGCATGCCGTCAGCACACCGGCAATACTAGGTATACAGAAGGTTGCTCTCTAGGGGCTGGGGAGATAGCTCAATAGAATAAGTGCTTGCCTGGCAAGCGCAGAGTCCTAAGTTCAATCCCCTGTACTGCAAAACAAAAACAAAAACAAAAACATTGCTCTCAGTCTCTGCACTCAAAAAGACCTCATCTACCAGGAACTCTAAAGCCTCTTGGCTTTCATCTGAATGTCTCAAAGGTAGACATTCACACAGAACTCTGAAACTTATACCCTTGAAATATAGCTATTATCATCCCTATTTTAGAAAAAAAAATTGGGAAAATTTGGCTAGATATGGTTGCACCCATCTATAATCCCAACTCTGGTAAGCTGAGGCAGGAGAAATGCAAGCTCAAGATCCGTCTTGAAATAAGAAAACCCTACCACAGAAAAACAACGACAAAAAGAGCCAGTTTAGTTATTTGTACAATTTCAGTCACTGATAAACACAATTGGCTCACTTCTCTGAGAAATGAGTTCAAGCTACAGTATGAAGAATCCAAGCAAATGAATCACAAAACAAATAAGACTGACCTGTCAAAAGAGGGTCAAAAAATGTTCATTTTTACTCCACAATAGTAACAATATCACTCTTCAATTTGGCTCATGTCTTCGGAGGATTCCATGCATGGTTGGGTGGCTTCAAGAAAAAAATGGCCTGGTAGATGGATGTGGGAGAGCAGATTTTCTCACTTAGCAGCACCTAGGAGGTAGAGAGAGGAGGAGGAAGCCAGGGAGGGAGACCTGCCCTCCAAAGGTCGGTCACCAGAGACTCGTCTCTTCCAACCAGGACCCATCTCATAATAGCTCGCTGATGAATATAAACTTAAGATCCAGTCACTTTGCAAAAGCCCCATCTCCCTACCATGAGATGTCTGGGATACATTCTAGATTTAAAGTATAAAATTAGCAACACACACAACTGGCACATACAAAATGACCAGAGACAGGGTCTGTGCTGAGCATTAGCTATGCAAGAATTTTAAAATATTAGTAATTATTGACAGTGTGATTTTACAACCTGTGATCTTTGTTATCCCTTTCCTGTTCCCACATGATATTGATCACCTACCCACGTTTTTCCATTTAGTTGTCAATGTCTTCATGGCTGCACCATTTTCCAAGTAAAAAGAGCATACTTCACAAGGTTATAAGACTCAAATGCATGTTTAATGTACAAAGAACATTCCATGTTAACTACACCCATTATTTTGGAATGAAATCAATTAACTGATTCTAGTGGAACACGTCCTTAGAATTTCATTCATTCAACAACTACTCAACCAGGCCTTTGTAAGAATATTGGGTAACCACTGTTTTGGTTTTTATTTTGTCTTATTATGAGTTAAGTTAAATGCTTAACTCATTTTCTAAACAGACTACAAATGCACAAATGTCTCCAAAAGCTCTTGTTTTTTGGTGTTTTGTTTTTTTTTTTTTGTTTTTTTTTGTTTGTTTGTTTGTTTGTTTGTTTTTTTCAGTACCGGGGCTTGAACTCAGGACCTTGCCAGGCAAGCACTTGTTATACTGAGCTATCTCCCCAGGCCCACAAAAGGTCTTTTTAAAATAGAACTTTTTTAATATTCAAGTGAGGCACAGAGGATAAAGAAATAATAGATCCATTGCCAAAATATCATAAAAAGTGTATGAGCCCTGAACGCTGTTACGAATGGAGCATAAGCAAAGAGACAGGCAGTGCTGCTGACAGCTTTCCTCTCTCAAGACAGTTCTCACTGCCTCCACCCATGCTGGGAAGATAGTCCTGGCCTCTTCACTACCAGCTCACTGCAAGTTCAAATGAAGTTTTAATGTCTATTCCATGTTGGCGTATCTCAGTTACCTCTCTCTTACTAGGGTAACCTAGGTTCTAGTTCCCCCTCTTCTTACTTGTAACTTCTCTGTGCCTTTCTACTTTATATATATGCAAGTAGCACAACCCTGGAACTTTTAAACCAATCTACATCTGATTTTTAAATGCTAAGTCTGTACTTTTGGTATTTATTGTGATTACTAACATTTCAGTATGTTTTAAGTTATTCTGTTCCTCCCACTTAACCTACTTTTCACTAACCTATTTTTTTTTTTCCTGTAATATACTGGATTCGTCTCCACATGCCTCTGCATTCCTTTTTTAAAGAAATACATTCTGAAATTATTCTTCTCTTTGTACCTTTAACATTTTAAGTAAAAGAACACTTGAATTTTAAAACCCTGAAGTTGATAATTTTTTTTCCTAAATGATACGTCCAAAATGAATGCTTAAATGCTTTGAGGATATGGATTCTACCATTTGAAAGTTAAAGTTTTAGAAGTTTAAAAAGAGGCATGTCTTTAGTTTTGCTACTATTTTCAAGATCATAAATGGGTAAGTGGAATTTAATACTAAAATACATGCAATTAAACTTTAAGTGATGGGTTTTGTGCAACAATTATTTTGAGATAGATAAGCAGCCTCTATTAGGTCAACCTTAAAAGTCACAATCACTGATATCATCAAAATAGAAATTTCAAGTTTTAGTAGCCCTAGTCTTAGGGTGTTGGAGGGATGAGGATGGTCCACCCGCCCCTAATGAGATAATGGTTTATTTATACAGGAAATCTCACAAGAATGGTACCAATAGTCTCAGACTTCCGTTTATCCCATGGTCAAGTATGTAAGTCTGGCTATTGTGGCTTTGATGCTTTATTAGATGGGCCTCTGGCTCATCTAAAGTTGCACTGTGTTCTTACCTTCTGCATGATTCCGTCGAGGGCCTAGCCCTGTCTGATTGCCTGTAGTATTTCTACCTAGCTGAGCTTTCTAGAAGAGGCTTCCCTAACTGTGCGGAGGGGAGAAGGGCTGGTGCTTCCATCCAGCTGCTTTGAGCTGAGAAAGGTTGATGCAATCAGGGGTGTCCTCCTGAGAGCTCCTCCAGAGGGCCTTGGCTAGAGGTCAGGTTGTGGTTTAGCACTTACCAACTCCCTTTACAACGTTGGTCTAGTGGATCCCGGTAAAAGGAGTCTGGCACATTTGTCACTGGTTCCATCTACACAGCCACTTGGACTTTGGCAGCCTCTAGGCAAGAACAAACACATTTTCTGAAAATAAAACAAAATAGAAATTTCAACTGATCAGGAGTACTGTTTGTTATTCTGGTACTTTATTTTTTTCTTCCGGAACTGGGGATTGAACTCAGGCCCTTCTGCTTGCCAGGGAAGTGCTTATTCTACTGAGCCATCTCCCCAGCCCTTTGTTTGTTCTTCTGAGTAATCTTGGAAAGAAATTTGGCTCTTCAATGTCAAGAAACAGAATAAATACCAATAAACACTGAATATTATGGTATATGGCATGTATATTTGCTCTTTTTCTGTAATATTAGTCCATCCAAAAACTGTATTGGAGCCACTGTTTTTATTAAGCTGTTAACCAGGGCTGTAAATTCAGTTGTATTTTTCAAACTGCCTATAATTCTATCACAACACTGACCACCTCTTTTCCATTTTATGTAATTTTTATCCAGTATTTTACTTATATAGGATGTTATGCTATCAAGTTTTTATTATTTTTAGCAGTTATTCCTATATGCAAGTACTAACATGCTTACAAATATCTTTGTCCACCATCTCTACCGATCCCTCATTATCCTTACAAACCAAATTTCATTGAATTCACATTTTGTTTTACAGGGAGGATACACAATGTACTTCATTTATTTATGTATTTATTTATGAATTTACATATGTGATACTGGGGACTGAACCCAGGGAGCACTGAGCTTAAGCCCCTCAGCCCTTTGTTTGCGGTGTGTGTGTATTTAGAGGCAGGATCTTGCTAAGTTGCTGAAGCATGCCTCAAACTTAAGATCCTTCTCCTTCACCTTGCAAGTAGCTGGGATTACAGACATTTGTTATGCCTAGGGAGATTTTTTTTTCAGACATTTGTTACGATATACTGCTAGAAGGATTTTACTTTGATGGAAGTATATACAGAAATAATATACAAAACTTTGCTAAGAGGTAGTGTCTTAAAGCTTAGGTGCCAAGTGAGATTAAAACCCTATCCATGAGCTCCTAGTGTTCTATTACTTTAACAAGCACTGGTCTATTTTGCATTTGAAATCATCTTTCCTCAGGGTGATTTTGTAGCATGCAGTAATCATGTGAAAATAATGATTCACAGAAAAATCCATCTTCAGTATTAACATATATGTGTCAGATGGATTCCCATTGTTACGTAAATACGTGAAATCACTTAAAAGGAAAAAGAGGCTTTATTTCTGTGCCCATCTTAGTGGTTTTAGTTCATGGTCACACGGCCCTGTCACTGGGGCCTGTGGGAGACACAAACTCATGGCAGTAGAGAAGCTCAGAACCAGAGAGAGAAGATGGAATCCAGGTGCTGACAGACTCTCCAAGGGCGTTCCCCTCCTAAACTGACTTCTTAAATCTCTCCCACTGCCCAACAGTGCCATTAGCTGGGATCAAGTTGGCACTCTGTGAGTTGTTGGGAGACATTTGGATCCAACCCCTGACAATATGCTATTAGATGATATTTTTTAAATTACATTTGCAAATAACACCACCAATTTCATCAGAATGTCATTGGTGGAACACTGCTGTGTGTCAAAGGCAGCAGCAGGCTTCCCAAGTTCCACTTTGCACTTGACAAGTCTCAATGTATGATTGGTGACAAACACTACCCCTTGCTTCCAATGGAGTGCCTTGCTCATGGTCTTCATTTTGAATAAGATATCTTCCAAAAATCCAAGCCAGAGCAGTCGCACTCACTGTGCCTTCCAGGTTTTAAGAGGAGTGGAGAGAGGCAGGCTGAGAGAATGTCAGAGTCATGCTTAAATGTGTTTCCTCTTCCAGATTATAAAGGCGGGGTGCAGTCCTCCTGCCCTCAGAGGTGCCAGTTTCCAACCAGCTGTGGCCCTGGTGAAAGCTCACTGCCCACAAACTCAAGCTGGAGAAATCCTCTGCCCCTGAGATCTGCTGCGAAGGTGAGGCACACATGGCCCTTCCATGCCCCTCTGCACATGCTTAGCATCCCAGTAACACTTCATTGCAATTACGATTGATGTTAAATTTTTCCCCTCCAGCTGTTATTGGGTTGCAATATTGCTAAAAGAAATTGAGACCAAATACCTGATGTCATGCCTCTCCTTTTGTTAACTATATGGCAGAATTTGACTTTGTAAGCCTCCAGGGCCGTTGTAGAACTGGGACCAACAATACCTGTCATCCCTATTGCACAGATAGAGTGGAGGGACAGATTGGGATCTTGAATAAAGGGCTTTGTGGGGTGGTAATTCGACATGAGGGTCCCGCGAACTCAGGGAAGGAACTGCTGGCCCAGGGCGCATCTCTCTATTGCCCTTCCTGCTCCCTGTTATGATGCATTTTATAATCAAAGTAATTTAAAACCAATCATCATCAATATAAATAAGGTAGTAAGGCATCCGGAGAAAGCCAGCTCTGCTGCTGCGCAAATGTCAACTGTGTCACACGCAGCTCCAGGAGAGTGGCAGGAAGATGCTGTGAGTCTGCACAAATCTCCTTCCTGCAGTCTGTAGGATGACTAAGGCAGTGCAGGCTCCACAGATGACGTTCCTCCCACCTCAGCCAGACTTGACGGGCGCAGCTTCAGGAAGCATCGATAGATGGAGGGCTTAGTGTCTGGCCTACGGTGGCCAGGAGGGGCCCTCCTGAATTGATGGGGCACAGTCTCCGGTTCCTCCCCACAGTCACTCACTCTCATTCCCACCTACTTCAGAATCCCCAGGGGCAGTCACTTTTCTGGGTTCATCTTCTCCTAGCATCAGCGGGTTTCTCCAGGTTCAAGGATGAAGCTTCATGAGATACGCATCATAAATGGCCATGAGTAATGTGCACTGATGGCAGAAATGTAAAATTTGAATTAATTCGTGCATAGTCTGTATCTCCCTTTGATACTAAAATGCTCTTCACGGAACCTGTGCGGTAGGATATTCAGCACAACGAATGGTACGTCGGAGAACGCAGTCGCCAGGTGGTTGAAGATGCATTAATGCAAGAGAGCAAGGTACTGGCTTCTGTGGGGGCCTGGCGGTGCTTCTGGGGTGGGGCTTTTCTGCTCCTAAGTCACGGATGTAAGCAGCAGCACGCTCAGACATGGCGCTGCCTGCGTCACCTTGGCCTTTCGCGGTCCCAGGGAGGTTGCACAGGGAAACTGGAGGGCTCAAGACACAGCTCAGTGGGAGGGTGCTTGCCGAGCACGTGCAGAGCCTGGGGTTTGATTCCTAGTTCTACACAAATAAAAGGAGGGGGAGGCGCTATTTAGAAATGGAAAGTTTCAAATCTAAAACTTGGTTTCAGCATTTATGAGATGTATGGGGTTTTTTTCTAGTTCATGAATAATTTTGCCTATATATTTCTTTATTCAATGTAGTAGCTGGGACATGAGGGTCACAATAGAGGGTGCTTTCCTCTGTCTTCACATTCTATCTTCTTAGAAGTCCTCCAAAAGTGCAAGTAGAACTTAGTCTCGTGTGTGTGTGTGTGTGTGTGTGTGTGTGTACACATGCATGTGTGCGTGTGTGCGTGTGTGTGTGTGCGCGCGCGTCTTTTTGAGACAGGGTCTCACTACACAGCTATGTAGTTTAGGCTGGCCTTGAGCTCACTTTGTAGCCCAGACTGATCCTGAATTCACAACCATCCTCCTCCTCCTGCCTCAGCCTCCTGAGTCCTGGGATCGCAGGCATGCACCACCACGCTGGGCGTCTTACTTCCTAGGAAATGAACAGGGATCTTAAAGGCTGCAATCGTCAGCAAGTTATGGCAGTTACGGCAGGTTATGCTGCAGTAACAAATCACCGTGAGGTCTCAGTCTTTTTGAATGCCTTACAGCATATGTCATTGCTTGCTTGCAATCCATATGTGAGACACTTCTTCTTTTGGTTAATCCAGGCTGCTGGGGGATTAGTGCATTTCTAAGTTCTCCACACACACGTCTTCACGCATGCTCCCAGAAGGAACATGCTTTGCCTCTGCTCATACATGTATCATTGTCCCAACTCACTTAACTAAACCTGGCTTAAAGGGGTTGGGGAGGTACAAACCTGGGATGTAGCCAAAGGGAGAGGAGGACTGGGATGCTTACCATCAGGCCAAGTGACATCACAACCATCATCACAAAACAAATGAATGTTCAGTGACTACTGTGTGCTGAGAAACACACCAGGCTACTCAGAAGTTATAGAATGTTTCTCAAGACTAATTCAGCACCAACGTTTCACCAAAGTCAGAAAAGACAAAAATGATAGATTTAGTTAATTACTGACTAGCTACCAGGCCTCCAATTATGTTTAATAAATGGGTTTGCAGAATTGAAGTTGGAAAAATGAGCCATATGCAAGTTATGTAATTCCGTGGCAAACAGAATTGTGACCTCCCCTACCCAAAGGTGTCCACATCCTAATCCCTAGAGACCACGAATCTGTCACCTTAGGTTACCTGTAGATGCGATGCAGTGGAGCATCTTGACATGGATGGTCATCCTCTGCTATCTGGGTAGGTCTGATGTGGTCACAGTAGTCCTCATAAGAGGAAAGCAAGGAGTCAAAGTGAGAAAAGAGATCCGATGACGGGAGTGGAGGTCACACTCACGGGAACTGTGGATCAGGAGTTCTAGTGGCCCTGAGCAACCAGAAAAGCCATGGAAACAGATTTTTGCCCATTAAAGGTTCTAGTGTAGTAAGATCCGTTTGATTTCTGACTCCCAGAACTGAAAGGATAAATTTATTGTTTTGATCAATTATTTCCATGGTAATCTGTCACATAAGCAATGGAAAACCAATGCCGTTATCTGCAAAAGATCTTAAACATGTTAAGAACAAAAGGAACCATTCTGTTTCCTGGGTGAGAAGGCCAGTGCTAGGCCAACATCTCATCACAAAGTGGACAAGTGGCAGAAACTATGTGCAAAATTAGCTGCCTGTTTGCAAAATCTCAGCTGCCACTGGTAGCCATGGCCATTCAGTACAGCCTCGTGGTAACTTGTGGGTGACCTGGTGATGCTGCGCCCCCAGGGCCTGCCGTCCTGGTGTGAGAACCTGAAGGGTGGAGTGGCAGGAGCAGAGTGTGGCCCGGCCCGAGGCTCGGCCTCCCTTCCTGCTCTCCCCGTCCACGTACAGGTGCATCTGAGGCTCTGTTTCCCATCACCAGAGCTGCTCTTGGGGGAGCAGCACCCAGGAACGCACATGTGGGCCACGCTAGCAGGACACCACACACACACACGCCACCTGGTGTCCCCTGGGTGACACCCAGATGTCCCATGAATATTCCATTCCCTCCCCTTGTGCCACTTCTTCCCAAGAAGCACTAGGAAGACAATCTCAGCTGAATGACTTTATATTCTCCTTTCCATGATTTCCTTTTCTGTTTCTCTCAGTTTGTCAAATCGTATTCCCCATTTATGAAAGATATCTTCATTTAAATTGTAGGGTTGCTCAACTTTATTTTGACAAATTCATTGCAGACTTGAAAATGATCAAATCAACGCTTGGCTGTGAGTCTTGGCCTTCCCTCCTTCTCTGAGCTTTGGCAGTGCTGGTGCTGTGGCTGAATATTTCAGGAAGAATCCAATTCCAAAAAAGTTCCCAATCCTGCTTTATAGACTTGTAGGCAGCTGGGTTTAATGAATAAGAAATTGGGGTGACTTTAAATATTCTATGCACTAACTGTGAGGTTTAGAGGGCTTCTCAGTTCTTAGTCCCTAATTCCTTCCCCTATAAGATGTGGATAAATATTCACTGAGAGTTTATGTGAAGATCAAGTGAAACTGTACATGACCTGCTTAGCCCTTCAGGGTAACTGACAATAAACCTCAGCTTCCCACAGGTCCTAACAGCTAAAGATGATAGTGGGGTCAGTTATATGATCATTTGGTGTATTTACATTAATACATAGCATTATTACCATTGTGATGTATATAATCATCTGTATCCATAAATATCAATAATTACAATTATAATTATATAGGTAGTACATATAAAACTATAAATATGAATTATACATCATATAATTATATACACATATGGTGAATAACCCTATAAATATAATTGCAGATAATAATTCCTAGTGAAATGGTACATGCCTCTAATCCTAGAGAGAGGCTGAGGCAGGAGGACTATGGGTTCAAGTCTTACTTGGACTATACAATGAGACTGTTTCTCAAAGAAATAAACAAGTATATACATACATATATGAGCATATATATGTATGTATATATTTATATGTATATAAATACATATATGTATACATATGTATATATGTATTATATATATATGTACATAGAAATACATATTACACATAACCCATGCCTACATATATAACTATTATATATGATCTATGTAGAGAATGATGTAACTTCCCATAGATGTAAGCCATTGTTTAGCACCTGTGTAGACCATTTATAGCCACCAGTGTAGTCACAATTACAGTCACAAGTTTCTCCATATTTTTCAGCATGGCAGCAACCCAATGTGACTGTAAAGCTCAGCCCTGTGCCAGGTCCTGGAGGACAGACCCACTCTCCACCTTTTACCCTAGAGATCTGAGCCCACTCTCAGCCCCCCTCAGACTGATTTTCCTCTGCAAACCTTTGCTCAACAGTCTTACCTTCTGGGGTGCTGATGCCCCAGGCCTTTGTCCCATCTCCTCCCCCTTCCCCTGCCTTGCCCCAGGGTATTCCCTCCTGGTAGGGTGCCCTGTCCTGCGGATGGGGCACCGACAAGCCCCCGCTTCTTTGGAGAGCCTGGTCCTGCGCTGTTTCCCCACCCAGAGGTCTGGTTGACTGGCTCCGCCCACAGCCTGCTGTGGCTGCTCCCATGCTGTCCAGACTCGGCCCCCAGCAGGACAGAAAACGTGTGAGCTCTGACAGCTTCCAGGGAGACCACTGGGTGGGGCGGAGAGACCGCTGCTTCCTGGATGCTAAGACCAACAGCCCTACGCAGTGGTGCCTTGGGGAAATGGTAGCTTGGCAGGAGCCAGGAGCCAGAGGCCAGGATGCAGGGGCCGGGGGCCAGCCAAGCACAAGATAAGCTGGTACATTTGACCTGAATACCTGCAAAGGCTGTGGGCACCACACCCAGGCCAGCAGAGGGTAAGGGGAGGTTTGAAAGAGAAGGGGATGGGCACCTCGAAAGGGATGGGCACCTCGCTCATGTGAACGAGCAATGGACACTGAACTAAATTCAGTCAACAACTGGTCTGCCCAAAGCAGACGTGGCATCACTGCTGTCTCCCACGGAGGGTGACTGTTCCTCCTCTTTGCTTCAGGATGGTGCCTTCTTGGTCCGAGACTGTTCCACCAAGTCCACGGCAGAGCCATACGTCTTGACAATATTTTATGGGAACAAAGTGTACAACGTGAAGATCCGCTTCCTGGAAAGCACCCAAAAGTTTGCACTGGGGACAGGACTCAGAGGAAATGAGGTGGGTGTGACCTCCCTGCTGCCCTTGCTGGGCCACAACAAGAGGCAAAGATGGCATTTAGGGGATGGTGGAGTCACAGCGACCAAAGGCCAGGAGAAAAGATGCTGCATGGGAAAAGGGAGATGCAGTCTGCCCCTTCCGCCCCCTCCCCCCAGCACCCCTGCCTGTGCCTGTGCTGAGGCCCAGGCCAGAGCCCATCCCTACACTCGAACTTCTGTCACACTCTGGCTACGAAAGCTCTTGCTGCAAAAGCATCTGCATGCCGCCTCCCAGGAGCCATCCCCGGAAGGTGGTCTAACGGCCCCTCCTGGGTCCACCGTGCAGGATTCCCACTGTGGTCACCTCCAGTCTGTTGGCATGAATTACCTATAGCAGTGCATCCCTGCCATGAGTGTGAGTGAGTCAGCACCCTTCGGCGCCATTGCGAGGGTGCCCACCCTCTGTGCCAGTCTGCTGATGGGTGGACGGGCAGGAGAATGAGTCATTATGCCTTTGTTGATAGCTGTAAGCAAACTGGTGAGGAAGGAAATGTTTCCACAGAAAATGCCTGCATTGCCTTGCGTTTTACCCCTCAGGGGCTGGTTGGTATAGTGATCATTTGTATCTTAGATGTGGGGAAGCTAAGACAGGGAAAATTAAATAAATGACCAAATTCACACAGGCAGCGATTGGGAAGGGAAGTAAAGGCTGTTCTTTCACCTTTTGCTGAAAAGAGAAGAAAACAGAGGCAGGGAAGCAGGAAGGGGAAGGACACAAAGGGAGGGAGGGAGGGAGGGAGGGAGGGAGGGAGCAAGCAAGCTAGCTCTTCTAAGTCACCATTTAAGGTGACTTAGGATATAAGCTCGGACACACTACATTACTTCTTCCCTCAGCTGAGACTGGTCTTAGTCTCAACTTGGGTAACTCCCCGATTCCCATTGGGCACCTCCAGACCACCATCTTGGTGTGCATGCGTGTGTTGGGAGCCAAATTCTGTCTCACTCTCCCCCAAAATTCACAAGTTGAAGTCCTAAAACCCAAGACTCAGATTGTGTCTGGATCCAGAGATAGAGATTTTGAGGAAGCCAGCAATCAGCATTAAGTGAGATGATGGGGTGGAGGCCTCACCCAGCACAACCAGCTCCTCGACAAGAGGAGCCTGGCCCAGAGGAAAGGTGAAGCCGTGGAGAAGACACCATGTGCAAGCCAAGGAGAGAGGACTCAGGAGAGACCAACCTGCCCACACTGGGCACTAGACCACTGGCCTCCTGCAGTGGGAAGAAACAAGGGGCTGTTACTTAATCCACTGAATTCTAAAAGCCCTCACTCACTAGCATTGTACAAAAGGAGACTTTTCACAGGAAGCTTTTGTTCTCCAATATGTACTGTAGTGGAGATCACTGGAGAGGCTTAATAATAGCCCTTTTATTCCTTGTATGGATCCGGGAGGTTTATATTTGCAATCCCATGGAGAAGTTATTGGAATCCCAAGTTAATTCCCATCTACCACTTCCGCTGCAACCCACAGCAAAAATAAAGACACTAAGGCATATTTATAGTTAGGTGGGGCCGAGGGGCCCTCTCCAGCCATGGTGATGGCCATCTGGAACCAAGGCCTCGACCCAGGGCTGGACCCAGGTTTGATTCAGTCATGAAGGAGGAGTGCCTTGAGGATGAGTGGCTGAGCATCGCGGGAGGTAGGTGAGTGCTGTGAGCTGGGCTAGGTAGGAGGCTGCATTTACTCTGGCATATGCAGAGAGAAGGAAATGTGGGGAGCAATCTGCATTACACAACTGAGATAGTGTCTAATGTTTTAGGGTCCAGTGCTTCAGCTCTGATGTGTAATCATTCAAGCCCCAGGAAGTCATAGCTTCTATCTCGAGGCTCAACCCCAGCCAACAGTGTAGAGCAATGGCTCTTCATCCTGTCTCCACCTGGCTCATATTACAGAGCAGCGGGTGTGGGTTTTCAGGGAAACACGCATGCTGTCCTCAAAGACTACCACCAGCATCTCGGCTAGACAAATACGCATTTCTTAAAGCCAGTTGAAGGGGTAAGAAGGCCCAGCCAGCTCTGTACCTATCAGTACCTGGAAACAGGGTCAGGCTCAGCCAAAATGGAGACAGCTGCTCTTCTCCCAAGGAGAGCTGCTCCGGTGGTCCTCCACAGAGGCTGGACAGGGGCTGTGTGAAAACCCCATCTACAGGCTGCACAAAGTCACCTCAAATCCTTTGTCAGGCTCAGAGCCCCTCTCTGGGAGCCACACACAAGTGAGGGAGCAGCAGGCGGCACTGGCAAGGCTGAGGTGTGGTCAGCTCCGTGCCTTTGCTCCAGCCTGGGGTGCTCTAGCGTGAGTGCACACTGGCGTGAGTACAAACAGCACCGCATCATCAGCCACACAGAGCTCTGCTCAAAACGTGCTGCATCAGAATTAGGCACACGGCCATGCGCCCTTCCCTGTGTGGGAAGGCGGCAGGCAAGTCAACAACTACAAACAGCCTGCGGGCTGTGAATGCCCCTGTGCATGGCGATGCTGTGTGCTTATCACTGCCAGTGAGTCCTCATCGTAACCGGAATATAATCCCACTTGAACAGATGCCTACAGCGATAGACTTGCCAGGTCGGGTTCTCTGTGTTTCCCTCCAACATACGCCATTTCTCACTTCTAGGAAAAGCTTTAGGGCATTTTCAAATGCTTAGGTTAAGGTGTCCCTTTGAAAGCCACGTCACATGTGCAGCTGAGAAAAACGTGTATTCAGCTGTGTTTGGGTGGAACACTCTGTGTATGTCCACCAAGTCCTTTTTTT